AACCAACGATTAACAAACATTTCCAGATTATTCCTTATCAATATAATATTATTCTACTTAATTATTTAGTTGTAAACAATTTAGAAATTCATGAAATGTATATCCGAAAATACATAAATAGATAGGTACAATAAAAAAAAAAACCTCATACATCATAGTAAAATTAATATGAAAATATTTAATATAAAAATGGGAAGCCTCATAAAACGTGAGGCCCTAGGCAGGTTCCCAGTTTGCCTCTCCCTTCCACCAGCTCTGTATAGAGTAACGTAATTTGTATTTGTACGCAACGATAAATCACTGCTAATGAAAAACGATTCTGAGCAGAGTATTATTAGTCGTATTTTTTCCTTCGATGCATAAGTAACCCAGAAATCAATAAACATTGCTACTGTTTTCCGTCGATTAAAAAAGTTGGAAAAAAAAAATTAAAACATGACCTACTCAATGCGTCATCTAGATCAAAAATGCTGCATGAAAGTTCCAATGAAGTTTCCGATTGGCGCCAGATGTCTAGTAGTGAAGTTGTTTACGGACAACGAAAAAAAAAATCGGCTTCATAAAAAAAAACCACTACTCCGGTCGGATTCGAATGCTTATGTGTACTCACAAAACGTACAAATCAGAAATCTCAACTGCGATTGGTAATCGAAAGGGCAATTTGAATACACGACTGGCTGCGGGTCTGTACGTTGATTTTCGTCACGGTCTATAGGGTCGCGTAAACAATTTAAAAATCGAGCATTAAATATTTGAAAAAGGTTACTAAACTATATTGTTGTACAAAACCGTCGGACCGGAACGAGCCCCGTTGTACATACCTACTATAATTATTATTAACTATAATAGTCGCGAATGGCTGGCAAACTTTAATACACGCATGTATGTGTTTTTACAATACAATAAATAATAATGTAAAACCGACCGGCCGATCACGTATTTAATTATTCGTATTAATCGCGTAACTGTTATTATTACTATTTGACCTTTGATAAATTCCCGTAAAACCGCGTAGATCGCCGGTTCGCGCAGCGTCGGTGTGTAAACGAAACGTCAGACACGTCATTTTAAAAGTAATTTTTTTCCGCCATCGTCGTCTGCGTGGCCAGTGGCGACAGTGGCGTATAGTGAACCGTTATTTCGAAAAGCAGTCGCTTCTGAATTTTATTGGAATTTGAACGATTAGGAGGGACACATATTGATAAACGTATAGTACAATTTACGGGGGCGGTGGTGTAAAAAAAAAAAAAACGATTTGTTTTTTTTATTATTTAAAGTTCGTGACGCCACTGTGCTCGGCGCTTACGGATTTGTAAACCCGTGTTTAGAAATTTATTTACCTATTCGTATTTTAATGATGTACATACGTGAACTAATAAAATGCGAAACGAGCGTAAAACGACTCGCCGTCTAAACATCGTGACAATATAATATCGTTAAATAAATCGCACGTGTTCAAAATGATCGTAGAAACTTTTAGATGATATTATTATCGTAACACTATACATTTATACGGCATTATGGTTATTAACGTGAAATCCGTTTTCAAATTTTCCCCAGGGATATTTTTGTCTTAATTGAAAATTGTTGAAATTTTAACACCACGTGTCTTCGCTGCGTTTGGCGATTCGTGTAGGTATAGTGCACGCCGGTGTGAACAGTGGATACGAGCATTACGAGTCTTAATGCCGATGATAAACTTTGAATATTATAAAAGTGTTTCGTATTATGATAATGTATAAAATCGACACGTCTGCTAATCTTTAAGGAGAGAGAGAGAGAGAGAGAGAGAGAGAGAGAAAAACACCGTTCGATTACGTCATTTCGCATTATTCCATTTCTCCCGATTAGAATAATATTATATTGTTTTATTTGAAATCTTAAGCGAACCGGCGCGTATTTCGAGTGTTTCACATACGACGACGAGTGTGTGATACCTAGTATAATATAATGTACAATATAATGAAATATTATTATTATTATTGTAATCGTACGATTCGTACGGTCGTTATCTCGTCGGTTTTTTTTTTCTCTGTTTCTGGATAACAATTCTCCCGGGAGCTGCCGGCGTTTTCGAAACCCGAAATTTTCATCGGTCGGCGTTTCGCGAACGTGCAGCGGTGACGTCCTCCCGCCGTCGTCCCGCACAAGTTCGAAAAACGACGCGGGCGTAGTGACGAACGCGCGCGCGCATGTGTTCCGTCGTCCGGACCAGTTAAAAATTCCGCCGTGACCGCCGCGCAATTTCGTCGCGTCCGCCGTCTGGGCCGAAAAACGCGTTGTCGCCGCGGTCGCGTCCGTAGGCGGACGGCGGCGCGGCGTTCCCCCGAGAAAAAAAAAAAAAAAAAAAAAAAACGAAAACCCCGAAACGCCGCCGTTTACGTAACACCGTCCCGCCGCCCGGCGGAATAAATGATAATAATAATTATTGTAATTATTATTATCGCCCCGACGACGTCGACGGGCGGACGCTCGTCCCCGCGGTTAAATGTCGTTTTGTTGTCATTATCAATCGTCGTTTGTAGGTAGGCATCGCGATTATAACGTTATTTAGTTTGTTGTTTTTTTTTTTTTTTTCTCTCCGCGTCGTAAACAACCGATCCCTATATTACTTTAAATACGCGCAAATTACACGATCTACAATATTATTATTATATTATACGCGAACAGCGCAAGTAAGCGACGACTACGACGACGACGACGACGTTCGCGTACATATTATAATGATGCATAAACGCGCGCGCGGCGGCGGCGGCGGCGGCACTCGGGTCAATGACCGGCGATAACTGTTGGCACATGTTGCCCTGCCGTGCGCGCGCACCCCGCCGCCGCCGCAGTTCGTACACATTCGCAGCACACGCTCGGACCGCCGCCGCCCGGCTCCCAAGTTTGCGCCGGCACCAGCTCGCGAGCGCGTCTCTCCCGTCGAAAGCCCGCCAACGCCGCGGCCGCCGTCGTCGGTTTTTACCGCAAACGCCGTCCGCCCGCCGTGTGCTCGCGTGCTCGTTACCGCGCGTTTTCGAATTGCCGTGTGTAGTGCAAGCGGACGAGAAAAAAAAATACCTATTGATAATATTGCAGGCCACTCCGCTCCGGCGTCCGTACGTTTTTTTCGCGTTCGCCGGTGTACGCAGTTCAAATTTTTTTTTTTTTTATCTTCATCATTGTATTGTTTACATCGACCGCCGCCGCCGCCGCCGCTGCCGCCGTCGTCACCGCCGGTACGTGAACCGTACACATTTTGCCGTTTTTTTTCCCCCGCCGCGATTCGGGTTCCAGTGAATTCGGCCGCGTTCGAAGTATCACTTACTTACTTACTAAATTTTATTTGTTTTCAATCGTCGTCGGTCCGCCGCGAGTATAGTGTGCCGCCCGCTCGTCCTATCCGGGGGAAAAAAAAAATAATAATAATAATAAATAATAAACGATTAAAATAGTAGTTCGTCATCGTATAATATCGTATATTATGTTATATTATATATAATAAATATATATGTATATATATATATGAATATATACGCACAGTATACATAATATATATTATATTACATATCTGCTGTTACGAGTTTTATTATTATTATTATTATTATTAAACAATTTTTTTTTTAGTGCGTCACGTGCCGCGTGCGGGCTCACAGTTCTAGCGGCTCGTCGACCGAACGCGGGTGCGTCTTGTCCAGGACCGAAGGTTTTTATCCGATCTATCCTCCGACGGCGCTCTCATCCCCCTCTAGCCCCCCCACCACGCACACAAACACCGTAGTAATTCATCGTATCTGTATCGTGGCCCCTGCCACCCACCCCCCTCTCCCCCCAAAAACTTTTATCTAACCTCCCAACCCTACCCCGGCTTACATATACGTACCGCTGTCCTCCCCTCGCCTCCTCCGAAGGGTCCGGCGTCGATGGCCACCGGTCGTCGCGGGACGTAATAAATACAATATATTCTAATATCAGGTATTATCGTTTCGCCCGGCGCGGATAGACCGGATAAAAAGGCTAGGTGTACGCGCCTACGAAAGTCGGGCAGTTTTTGTTTTGTATTTTTTGTTTTTTTTTTTTTTTTTTTTTTTTTGTTTTCCATTATGTTTATAGGTACCCGTCTAAAATAATACGTAGTTTATGTGTTCGTCGCCGTGCGCTGTGTTCCGTCGTCGATCGTGTGTTGTTACTGATCCGCGGTGTCGGACGCGTACTTTCGGTTGCGAAAAACACGATGATCGGGCGTGACGGCGCTCGTGAGTGGCGACAATATTATTGTTATCACCACCGCCGGCGTTCCGGACAAGACGCCAGCGTCCGCGGCCGCACGGTGTCCGGCGGCACGTAAGCTGTTCGCCGCCGAGATCGTCGTATACGTCCGTCGTCGTCGCGAGGCTGTCCGCAAACGCGCAATCTCACCGGACGGATATTATGCCGGCGTACGTCGTTAAAATGTAAGTTGTTATTTTTTGTTTTGTTTTGTAAACCCTCATCCCACCCCCAACCACACACACCCCCACAAGCCACCGATCCCGTATAATGATATATCTCGAATACGCGCCGTGCGCAAGGTATCCACCTACGTCACGGTCCGTAATATCACGTTAACAAGCCATTGGTATAGAGATACCAATGAGATACTCTACTCGTGCAAAACGCACAACACACGATAGTAATAATCGATACATGATAATAATAAATTATTAAAAAATACTATTCAATTATTGTTATCGCCGTGTGTCCGCGGCGCAGCGTCGCGCCGTCGGTAGCGCACTCTCGCAATGGCAAAATAACGCGCGCGGCGCTACGGGTTTTCCGATGAGAAAACACAAAACAAAACTTTTCTTCCTCTAAGAACCCCTCTAGCCCCCCCCCCCCCCCAAAAAAAAAAAAAAAAACCGACGTGTATTACGCAACAAATGTACATCGTACGTGCGCGCACGCGCTAGCGCGTGTTTCAAAAGTTGAACGGTTGAAAGTTGCGGTGTGCCGTCGTCTATATTTACACGCGGCGAGCTCTCCCGCGCGACCGCGTCGAGTTCAACGACCGACTCGAGTGTTGGGTGCGCGGGCATTAATTGGCAACCGGAGAGAGAGAGAGAGAGAGATTGAGAGAGGAGGGAGTGAGAGAGAGACGACACGTTCGCACGAAACTGTTTTTTTTTTTTTTTTTTCGAAAAATTAAATAATAATAATAATAACACTTTTTTCGTTATTATCCGCACAACGAAAATGATTTATGTATTATTTTATTACATTATGTATTCGCGTGTACACGCGTAAAATGTATATTTATACAAACGCGCTTAAATATATATTATTAGTATTTATAGATAGTAAGTACGTTATTATTATTATTACACTGGTGAAAGACAACGGCAACGAACGTGGAATAAAAAAAAAAAAAAAACAAATAACTGAATAGAGAACCGGTTCGACCGGCCTTGGCCTTGTTCGGCATCACGGCTTCTTTACTTTCTTATAAAAAAAAAAAAAAAAAGGAAAAAAAAAGAATTAATAATAATAAAAACCGCACGTTTCGAATTTCGTTTAGTCGACGAAATATGTTTTAATTTTTTTTTTTTTTTTTTTATTAACACTCGGTCGTCGGCTCGCTGCGAATAAATATACTACAACACGATTTCGAAATATCGCTTACCGCGTTGTTATTGTGTTTTATTGTTTTTTTTTTTCTTTTGTTTTACGTTCGGCGCATAATACCTACGCCGCGATAATACTGTAAATAATATTATACGCGCGCCGAATATTCGGCCGAACGCGGAATTTTCCGGCGTACTTTGTAAGCGAATGACATGAAGAAAAAGGTGCGTGAAAACCGCCCGAGAAAACGCACTCGAAAAACGACAACACTCGAGCGAGACGCGGTCTTTTTTTTCCTTTCCGTTCCGGCGTCCTGTAAGCGAGGGCGGCGGCGGCGGCGTCGCGGGGTCGTCCAGGGTCGTTGCCTCATTACTGACCTACATTCAGATTCCGAACGAGAGCAACGACCGCTCGGTTGTTTGAGCCGGCCGCCGAGGATAAATCGTCGACGGGTGCCCGGACGACCGCACGTGTGAACCGTGTATCATATTATTATTATTATTATAAACACGCGTTTTACGTCGTCTCGACGGCGACGATGCTCTCTTTTCTCTCGGCTTATCCGGCAACCTCTCCCGACCAACCCCCCCTCCCCCACTCACGCCCCTCACGCCCCTCACCGTCGTCGTCGCGGTTAGGAGCTCTTTTCTCGTTGGCTTTTCACCGACACCGGCCGTTCGCGAACGTCGCCGATCCCTTTCCCCCCCCCCCCCCCCNCCCCCCCCGACCAGTCGATAGAACGGTAATACACGCCGTATACGCCGATATTATTATCGCGTTTTAGATTCTAAGCGAACGTATATTTCGACTTTACCCGGGCGTCTTCACGTCCCTCGCAAACGACTCGCAGTCTGCCGGAAATCTCGCTCCGACCGAAAACTTTACGGGAGACATTCTCGCGTGGCGTTTTCGATCCAGTCGGCGCGTTGGGAATGTCGTTTTTCGATTTTCCCCGCGGTTTTCCCAATGAAAACGGAACGGACTATTGTCTACAATCGTATTCGCCGATTTCTGCACGGTTACAGCGGCAAAAATGCAACTGCATTAACAGGTGTATTACCGAAGTCTCATCCTCCGCTGTAGGAATCGTTTTAGCAGTGGTTTATCGTGGCGTGCATCATTCAAATTAAATTACTCTACATTATCATATCCTCCTGAAACAGTGACACACCCGTTAGCGCAGTATTAGCGTTTCGTTCTTATATTGGATCGCACGTGTAAACGATACAACAACTAAATATAATCCGACGTCAGTGATGAAATTAAATTGTATTTTTTATTTTATTTTATATTATTATTTTTTTTTTTTTTTGACAACCTACGCCCAGCATTGTCCTGACGACGGTTTTTTTTTTTTTACGCGAGTCCATAGGTCATCGAGTATTATTTCAAGCCGTAATAATTACTGTAATACGCATAATATGTGCAATATAATTTTATATGTTATCTAATATTATCGTACGTTAGGTATAGGTGCCTACTTGTTGTAGAAAGAACGAGCGTTCTTCTTTACTTTTTATCATTTTTCTTTTTTTTTTTTTTTTTTAACTGAAAAATGTACATATTTTTGTTGCTCGGTATAAAATACGTCAGTATTGTGCGTGCACGCGCGTTTACACGATTATACGCGTGTTTGTTTATAATATTATTACGGATTCAGTTGACATTATTTTGCGTTTTCCTTTGTTCGAAATGCCGAGCGGTACATGCGTATACCTCGCATAATAATAATACGTACATGGTATACAATGAAAAAACAATTCGTAAGTATTCGGAAGTTTGGGGTCGTCGTCGTCGACGTTATCTTGCAGCAACATTTCGGACTTTGCGTATAGTTCGTATCGCGACTTATTGCTTTTTATACGTGTATTGTTGTTTAAAAAATTGCGTATCCGACAATTACCGCGACGTTTTGTAATAATATTTAAAAAAAAAAAAAAAAAAACATTGTTAGTTGAGCTTGCAGTGTTTTAAGAGGTTCGGAAAGTTGAAAGACAAGTTAGGATACTCGATGTCCGGACCAATTTCATTTATATCTGTAGTAAACGATAAACCGTTTCCGACGAATAATGATTCCTGAGTAAAGGGTTTTTTTTTTTTTATTTATTTAGAAAGCTAGTTGAAAAATAAAAAAATGACCTTTCGATACAACAACTAGATTAAAAACCCTACAAGAAAGTTCCTATAAAATTTTCGATTGTAGCAAGATTTCTGGTAGAAAAGTAGTGGATTAAGAAAAAAAAAAATAAAAAAAAAATACACATAATTCAGCACACCTGCGCCGCGTACACACATCCGAATACGAATACATTCATCGCTTCGCTCGGAATCCGAACGTAAAAATATTACGAAATTCCCATCGTTGGATTGAATAATTATTAACTAATCCCTAATCGTTGTTGTACCTTAAGATATGGCGTGCGTTGGCGTTTTCAAGTGTGACTCGCGACGCGGCGTTTCGTTCTTTCGACTATAATATTGTTACGTCCCGACAAATGTGTTCGGCGAATATATTATTATGAAATATTATAATAGTAAAAATCGAAACCGAGTGAAACGGCCGGACCACGCGACAACAATCATAATGAACGGACAAATCCTGAACCCGGTACAATATTTATTATAATTCCGGGGGGCGGCTGTGCGCAAGTTTATCTGGGGCAGACGACGTCTGGCCGGTGTAAAACGAATTTTCGTACGCGCGACCTTCGCGTATGAATAAAACGCCGCGTTCGAGAAACGCCCTTCAAATTTTGGCGCTACGCGCGAACGTCCGCATTGCACGTCCGATTCGGCCTTGGCTTTGACGACCGTTAAAGAAATCGGCTGCGAAGTGTTCAATCGCGAATTATCTCCAACGGGGCTGCGAAAACCTACGTCTACCCGCTGACGCAGAGTTCGCGACGACGTTCCTGCGGATATTATCCAACACACGTACAAAAATGCCTCGGTAGACGGACTACGGTGTAGTGTTTGCAGGTATTTAAATTTGCGAAGAACCGCACCGCTATCGGTAGAGCCGCGCCTATGTTGGAGGGGGGGGGGTGCGATAGATGTCCACGCACCGGGCCCTATGACTATTGCGCCATTGAGAATTTTCAAAGTTCCGTAATCGCATATTTTCACTACTAACGAGTTGGGCCTAATTTTTTTTTTTTCCGTTCATCGGTGGCGCGACATTGACGTATTGGTTTCCAACCTCTTTTATTCTACGTCCCGTTTGTAGATTTTCAAAAATCAATCGCACGTGCGCCCACGGTCTCCCACAGACCGATCAATAAACAAATGACACTTTTTGGTAACTGGCGGGTTAATCATATTTCATTGTTCCCCTAAAATACAAATTGTATTCAATAGTCAACGACGACTGCTTGCGCCTTCCTTGCAGCAACGTGTTCACTCCCCTTCCAGGTCGGGTAACACTGTGTACTAAATAAACGAAAGTACTCGTTTCGTGGAGGCCTCTGGGCCCGGGCGCCATCCCTATTAAATCCGGTCCGGCCCATACCCAACCGGTTATTACGACGCGCGAGAACACCCCGCGTCATCCCGAAATATGAAATTCGGTAATATCGTAACGATATTGCTATAATATTACGATAACAGCCGACGACGACAAACGCGGTTATATCGACGAACGGCGCATGGTAAACAGGTCGTAATAATAATAATTGTCGTCATTATCTTTTTGTGCGTAATAACGCGGGGGGGGGGAGAATGCGCCGCGTCTGCGGCGGCGAGGAGAGGGTACCGCCGGGGGCCCCGCGTACGAATGTCCGTCCGTAATAAGACTAATAACCCGCCCGGGCAGGTCGACGGCGATAAGACTTCGGAACGCAGGCTTACGCGCAGTTACGCGTCCCGAACTCGACGCGCGGCATACGCGTATCCCAACGGTAAAATACGCTAATCGCTGTACGCTCTTCAATGTCAAGTCCAATTCGGTCCGACAATTTTTTTTTTTCTCTTCCGCCATTATCTCAAAATAGTTCGTCGTCCGCGTACCTCGGCGGCGTGTCTCCCGCACGAGAATGTCACGTGCGTAACGATATTAACGCTACGAATGCGTTCGCGGCACCGGCATAATAATATGGGCATAGTTATCGTTGTGCGCGCGGTCGCCGGCGGAGGAGAGTTGAAACGAAAAAAAAACACGAATAAACGTTGGAAAAAAAAAAAATTCGAAATTAGAAAAAAAAAAAAGAAACCGTTACCAATGCATAGCCGACGAATTTCAGAAATGACCCGATAACACGACGACGAACGAAACAAAACAACCGAACGCGCGGTGGTGTGGTACACTCGCGAAGACGATAGTGCGAGGTGAACGACCTTTTCCACGCCGAACTGCGGCGGTGGCGGCGGCGGCGGCGGTACGGGAAGAGTAAAAACGCGCCGTTACAAGAGAGTTATGTATATATAAGTCAAACAAATAAAACAAATACATAATAATAATAAATAGTACTCAAACAATGAGAAAATATTATATTATATAAACGCGCGCGTGTTACGGTGGTACGAAAATAAAACACGTATTTATTATTATTATTATTATATATTTGTACGGGCGCGAGGAGCGTGGTGGAGGAGAGGGTTGGTGGATGCGAGGAGCGCAGCGCGTCACCCATCGCAGGTATAGACGCTCGGTAGCGGAAGGTTCATGACCTCATGCTCTTTACTGACGGCCACAGATGATGCAAAGGACGGCCAATGAACCTTCCGCCGCGACTCTTCTCTCTCGCCCGCGCGCTCTCTCTCCCGACTCTCCGCTCTCTCACTCTCTCTCTCTCTCTCACGCCCACTCTTTCCCGGCTCTCTCTCGCCCGCTCGCTCACCGCGCCGCCGCACGAACATTATGTGTATATATAACACGCAAACGTTAAAAATAACAAAACGCGTCAAGACCCATTGGGTCCGGTGATCGATCGCGCGCGGATAACGGGTCCGCCGCCGCCGCCGCCGCGGAGATTTATAATTTTATATCCGTCGATTTCCGTCGTCGCCGCGGCGGACGTGACGCGACGACGGTCGCGGGGGGACGGGGAGGGGGCCGAAAACCGACGCAAATTCGGCATTTTTTTAAAATTTTTTTTTCGTCTCCTTCGAAAGCATTGTTTTCGCCTACGCCGCCGCCGCCGATGCCGTTGTCCGGTCGACGACGTCCGTCGGCGTCGTCGCCTCCGCCTCCGCCGACCACCGGCGATCGGCCGACGACGTCCGTTGACGCCGCGTACCCGCCGCCGTCAAGCGTTCGCACGGGATCCCTTGCGTGCGTGCGTGCCCGAACACACCGGCGGCGGGCCGCGTGCGGCGCGACGGTGGTGCGTACGTGCGCGGTGTGTCGGCCGCCGGCACGCGGAGCGTTTCGCGCGCGCGCGCGCGCGCGCTCTCGGTCTCCAGGCGCACGACGACGCGCACTCCCAGTTCAATGAACTCTGTGCACAGGTCCAACGGTCACCCCCGCACACGCGGCCCACCACTTCCGCATCGACTTTGTATTATGTTCACCGGCACACGAAACATCGCCGGTGCGGCGGGCGAGCCGCAGCGGCACTTCCCGAAAAACCGGCGTGACAATGCCGTCTACCGCGGCGGCGAACAGTTTTCGCTTTTGCCCCACTCGGATGTACGGCGATTCCGTTTCGTTTTTGCCCCGTCGTCCCGTTCCGCGTGTAAATAACATACGCGGCACGCGTATATTCCAACGACGATAACGTATCGTTTGTTTTTATTCGTCCCCTCACCCCCCCTACCCCCCGCCCACGTTTATTTTGTTCGCGCGGCATACAACGCAGTATCACTGCCGGAGCGGCCCCGTCCGCCCTGTGCGCGCGCCCGACTGCGATACGCGTTTCCGTGATTAATGAATATTACGGCCGAAAGGTCGTCGTCGTCGTCGTCGTCGCGTATCGTCCGCGTGTATCGATACGGCGGCGGCGGCGGTGGCGGTGGCGGCGGCGGCGGTATAATACGCGCGCGAATCGTATCCAAAGTTTATTGCCCCCTGCGCGCCTCTTGTGCGACAATACGCATACGATACGCGTGGACGCCCGTCACGATACGATACAATAAATATGCGGCGGCGGCGACGACTACGACGACGACGAGTACGGCGGGGCATTTGGTGCCGAACTCTGAATTCGCGCGAGTAAAATCACCGCGGGGACGCGTTCGATTATTCCGGACATCGCGACACCCGTATCGCGCGACATCCACCCGAACCTGTTATTATTAGATAATTATTTATTTGGCGCGTGTACATAGGGCGGTTGTTGTTTTTACCGCGGGCCGGCGATAATCCTCGGAGAATTTTTAGTGAATTTGATTTTTTGGTTTTAGATTCTGAACGGAACGAGAGGAACGTACTGATTTTACAATGATGTTTATTTATTTTATTTTTTTCCCACCGGCAACTTTTTCACCATCAATTTTGCTCCGATTTACCTACAATGATAGCGCATTATACGAATGGATATCTGACTGGGGTGGTACTTTAGGCGGTCATTTTATCGATTTTCCAAGAGATTTCTCAACAAACGGGAAAACCGGGGAAAACGTAGAAAAAACGGGAAAATAGGTTCAATTTTAAACAAATGTTATTAATGAAAGTATATAATGCTTATGTAATTATTTTACCATAATATGACACATATATTGTTGACAGAGCGACACTATCAACCGAATTCGGCTCAGAATCGATTTTTCGTTGGCCATGATTAATCGTTGCTTACAAATATACATTAAATTACCTATATATTAGTGGTTGTATCCGTCCCCATTAACCTTAGACAGCTTTATTTTTTCAATCGTTGTGATAAGATAAAGCTTATTTTATAATCCGTCGAAAAATGGATATTAACAAGACTATTGCTCTTCCTTACTCCTTACTCCGAGAATATTTTTGCAAAATATTCTCCATAATATTCTGATTTGCGTTTAAATATGACTAATATAAGCTACCTATTTAATAATCCAAAGCTTCTATTCATTTAATACGGAGAAGAGGTAGACATTTATAAACTGTGCTAAAACAAATTATAAACGATTCCATATGGATTGAAAAAATAAACCAGTAATCAAATCCCCTTAAAAAACTCTGAACCGATAGTCGGATCACGATAATAAAATCGCCTGATCATAATAGAATAGTTTATGATATAGTATTATGATATTAATTACCTTATTATCTTTTTTTCTCAAAACCTTACTCTTGTTCGGTACACTGTATACCCAGTGGCGTAGCCAGTATTTCTCAATGGAGGAGGGGATTTAGGGATCTGCGATCCTTTTAACCATTGCCTATAGCTATAAAAATGCCATGGGGGGGATGGCTCACAACACCTAACCCCCCTGGCTGTACCACTGCGTATACTTAGCTATATAATACCATAAACTCGGATTCGAAAAAAAATTTTCTCTTAAAATTTTGACTGCTATATGTATACCAATTAAGTATTATAGAAAAGGTTATCTATATATATGGATATACAAATTTTTCGCCCTTATCCGCCCCTCTGGTCTAAATTTTATGGCGATATAGCTCATAAAGGGCGTATCCCATAGTATATAGTATACTTTACTATTATACTATAGGTATGTATGTCAACGTTTTAGGAAATTATCATCTTTTCGAGTTCAACCAGCGCAGCATACAATATATAAGTATAATATTATACGTTTTGGGACATTCTTCATAATTTCAATTCGAAATGTCGTATAGTATGTTACGTTGTCAGAATAAATATCGAATAAATCGAATTGTTTGCGGTTATATTATTTCGTCGAACGACCGTTGCGTGACGTTATAATTGTTAATAATAGTGGTTCTGACAATTTTTTAATTAATTGTTGCAGGACATACAAAAAAAAAAAAAAAATAATAATAATAATAACAATATAAAAATTGTCGGTTTTATCCGTCCAATAAAATTGACAATTAAAAAAATAATTGCTCGGTTTAAAAATCGTTAACGTTCCGATTGGTTAATTTCAATAAAAATAGTACCTTTTATACAAAACCAAAACTGTTTATTATTGTGATTCGCAGAAACCAATAAACAATAATAACAATTATTGTTATTTATAATTATTATTATTATTCACTCAAACGATGTCAATGCACTGCTAATGTTTACAACACGTCTCATTTAATTATATACGATGATAATTTTTACTATTTAATTCTATTCTACATTGTAGTCATCGTTATAATATGTCAAAGATTTCATCCAGAGATTATAGGAATTTTTTGACGTCAAAACGGTTAATTTGATGTGCACATTACAATTTCAATTTAATAGGTTCGCTATAAGTGTATTTCTCTCTATAAAGTCGATTAGCTTATTATTTTAAAATACTATTTGTACAAAATAGTAAATCGTTTATTTTGCAACTATTAAACCATTAACAGTGATCGCAGTGATAATAACGGCGGAGCGTACTATTTTATGTTACGATCATTTACAATAGTGTACTTGTGTGAATTTTATTATTGAATTATAACGAGTATACCTATATAGTTATTTGTCGGTTTAAAATATTGAGAATACAAAATAATCTAAGAAGTACAATTCGTCAGTCAGGCTTCCTCCGTGTGCAATATGGTGTTCCATACTTAATAAAATATCTACTACCTATAATTCTATAGTCTTACAAAGAAAATCTGCCGCCCATATATATTTTTGTTTATAAGGTGTACGTGGAGATTTTATACCATTTTGAGGGGCTAGCTGGAACTGTCGACAATTTTGTGTAAAAAAATACCTTGCGGGAAAATCTCTCACACCTCGTAGGACGGTTATAATTGGTATTTTTAGATACGGAGAGTGGCGAGGGATCTATTGGTTTAACTAGAATGTGTTTTTTATTTTTGTATTTTTGTACTTTTTTCTTTATCTGTAAATAACTTTTCAAAAAGAATTCTTGCTTTTAAATCATTTTAAATCATAATAACCTTTTAAAGTATAACCGAACTTCCGAATCATTTTTCGTTAGCAATGGTTTATTTTTGATTACATAGATATAAATTAAACAACTTTAAGTATCCTACCTTCCTAACTTTCCACCTTCAACAGTGGCACACACGTTCCCAGTATCACCTCATTTAAGAGTCCGAGTAGAGCGAGGAGTGTATTGGTTTTATAATGATGTTTATTTTTTATAACTTTTTTTTATATCAAGTACAAACATTCTACCAAAAATCTTATTTCGATGTATCAGGTATAGCACCTTCATTGAAAGAAAATGTTATCAAGTTGGTAATTTAAAAAGGTAATTTTTTGATTTTCCATGCAGTTTTCATAATAATTCTGAAAAATCGAAGAAAATGTAGTAAAAACGGGATTATTTACGAAAATAATGCTTTTTATTAATTTCAACTTTGTTTTTTTATATATAATATAATGTTTAAAATATTCGTAGAAACTTAAAATGTTGACAGAAAACTTATATTTACAAATTTCAAAATAAAACAATTTTTCACAGATGATAATTATCAAATCAATAACTAGAATTATAACTGACGCATTCTTCGTCTCTATTACAACCAAGCATAGAACAATTAGTTAAGGAAAAACATTGTTAAAATGAATATTCCGCTATGAAAAATAAATAATAATTTGTAATTTAAAATTTAATAAAATATCGAATAACATATGCTATAATAATAAAAACAGATTTCTTTTTTTTATAAAATCCATGTTTTTTTATGAATGCAGCCTGCGAGATTTTTTGAAAATAATAAGTTACAGATATTTATTCGTAATTCTAAATATATGCACGTCGCTTGTCTAATAATTTGGTATCCTAAACGCCTGTCCAGATATTCATTGACCGGACTATACATATGGAATGCATTACACATTATTTTGATGGTATTATAAATTCACAAAAACGTTGTATTGCATACACTTGTATGAGTTATGTTCTTCCGTACATAGTGTTATTGCTATATGTTGTACAAACATTTAATATAGTATTTATCTTGTGTTGTGTAGATGTGTATTGTACAATTTTAATTTAGTAAATTGTAGAACATATTTTACATAGGTATTACATCCCATTAACGAATACACGATATTAATTGTATTTAATTAGGTAGGTATATACGGATTTCAATTACGCACAATAACACTTGCGAAAAACTCCGGTATGATGTGATGTTCATCGTTACAAGTGTGCTTTTCCTTGATTGTTTTTATCGGTAAAAAATAAAAAAAATTGTATAATAAAAACGATAATATTAATGTACCTATATTATTGTTTAGTGGATTTTATACGTTTATACTGACTTAATATGTATACTTGTTGGAAGGACTCTAAAGGTAATGTCAATTATTTACCTTTGCTATCAATACATCTACAGTTAAACAGTGTATAAGTTTTCGGTAAATAATATCTGTTTGCAGGCTATAATATATTATTATGATAGATACCTATAGACATACATTTAACCGTATAGTTAATTATTCAAATTTGATATAGAAAGGCATGTACCTACAGAATAAGGTTATTATGATATCTGCGTTTTATTTCAGTTTTCATAAGAAAGATATATTTTGTCTATACAATAACTTTGGACTTAAATTTATAAAAAGAATAATCATAACGCGCTTAGATTGGAAACCTCGACTTTAAGGTAAAATAAAATACAATACAATTTAATATAATCAATAAGATAAAATTGTTTAGGTATTATAATAGGATCCAGTCTTATTTCATTACATTTATTGATATTTTTATAGTGATGTAACCAACAATTTTTTTCAGAATATTATTTTTAATTAAACAATTTAAATAATTAATCTGCCTATTAAGAGTATTGATTAATGTTATATTATAATATATATTATATATTAAATACGAAAAACACTTTATTCGACTCTTTATAGTTTATATGAGATTTGAAAATATAAATATAAGTACATATACTTATTTATTTTTCAACAATGATGGTTGGTTCGAAATATTCCTAATCATATTTTTACACACGTAATTAAAAAGGTCCTAAATAAAGATTAGATAATTGTTTTGACATTCTTCTTTTTACTAACATACGAGAATTATAATTATTTAATATAATCGAATCAAACACTTACATTAATTTAAAAACGTATACCTATGTATATACCTAAACTTAAATAAATTGATTTTTAAATGTAAAATCTAGTCATCTTAAATCGGGGACGAGGCTGGGCTGTCCGGGGCTATTTAAGAATCAAACTTTATAACGAAAAATCCGTTTTATTAAAAATTGTTGTTAAATTATTTGAAGGTATAAAACGCACTATTTTTTTCTTATTAACAACGAAAAGTTTTTGAAACGTTCCGAACAAAATATAGGTATAGAGTTAAAGAGATAGAGGTAGAGGTAATCGGTACAGTTATTAGATTATATTATTATTTTAAAGTTCCAATAATTTAAAAATATTATCTTAGAAATAAAAAAAAAAACTAAAATGGCACGCGGCTAAACCCAAATGATGATAGTATCATGGTCAATACATTATAGATAGACCAATTTTAGGATTGTTCGATAATCAGTTATCTTACTAAAATACGATTGGAAAAAATAACTGTTAAACCAAGAAAGAAACAGAATAATTAACAACACATTCGTGTTTAGGAAAAAAAAATAATTTTAACTATGTAGTTATTTTTTTTAGATTAAATGATTAAACTTATGTTGGGTTAAATACTTAAAACTATTGTAAATTCTACACTTAAATACATTCCAACAATAGAATATAAAATTGTTTATGTTCTATAAATGCGTATAGTTATTTTAATGTCTTACATTTTCATTGTTTGTTAAAAATTCAAAAACTGTTATTTATATTATTACTATAATCAATATACACATTATTTACCTAGCTATATGGGGCTGTATTATAATAATAGATAAGTTTAGAAACTGTGTTAAGTATAGATAAGATTTCATGGGCATGTTCTGCAGTGGGGCAAATTATCTTCTTGTAAGAATTAATGAAAGAAAAAAAAAAAAGAAGGAATAATTATATTTTTTATAGTTAGCGATCGAATCTACGAATCACGGATAACTGTCATTATAGCCTATAGCTCTATAGATTATCTTGAAAAAGGTGTTTATAATAATAATTAAACTCAATTAATTTTGTCATTTGTATATCGTTCAGAGGTATTTTGTAATGCAAGTATAATAGTTTAAAATTGAATATAACAGACAATGTGAAATAATTTAAAATAAATTATTTTTATTGCTTGGGTATTTATGATAATTTTAATTATCCAATGTACTATAGTATAAAATCGAAACTGACACATACTGTATACGCATAGTCAGTATAACATGACCAGAGGTTATTTATTTTATTTTAGAGTTTGAGTAGAGCGGGGAAAGTATTGGTTTACAATGATGTTTATTTGTATTATTATTTTTTTTTTTACAACTTTTCTACGAAAAATTTTGTTTCGAAATTAAATTATTAAAGAACTATTCTCAGATATTTTCCCAATAAATAAGAAACACCGGGAAAAAACTGAGGAAAAACGGGATAATGTACGAAATGATTAGTAAAATATTATGGTCTTTTCTATTAGAAATTTTCTCCGATTTCAAGTGTGGCACTTTTTTTAAAATCAAATTTGACTGAGGTGGTACTTTAAGGAGGTTATTTTTTTATTTCCCCAGCTGTTTGCATAGTAAATATGAAAAACTGAGAAATAACGTAAGAAAACTGGGAAAATAGGTACAATATTAAACAAATATTATTAAGGAAAATATAAAATGCATTTTTAATTATTTTACCATTGTATGAAACATGTATATTGTTGATAAAGTAACACTATTAATTCCACTCAGAATCGTTTTTCGTTAATCGTTGCGCACATATATACATTAAATTTCCTCGCTACCATCTCGACTTCTCAGCTCCAATAATAGCCCACACATCGTGCGAAGTATGTCCGTATTATCTTTCTTTAATTTTGCTACTGCACATCATTGGTATGCCTGAGGAGGGCAACACAATTTTCAGGTGAGGGAATCTTCCCGAGTATTTTGTTGCCATGAAATACTGAGTTTTTATTAGATATTTTTTTTATTAAAGTTTTAAAGTAACGCATTCAATATTTTGTCATTCTTCCCCCTAAATTGTTTCCTGGATACGTCACTGCTATTCATCATATTGCAATCAATTATATCTATCAATACGAGGGGCGGATGTTAATAAAAATGATTATAGAATAACAGGAGCTAAATAGAGGAAAGACCAAGAGATTAATAATAAAATTAGCAACAGATGCGTAATAAATTAATTTTATCTGTTTTACAGTTGAGTTATATCAAAATATTGAATTTAATAATACTAATTAATAATTTGTGTAGATTAATTGAAACAAAAACTATGAATAAACATATATTTAACTATATTACCAATAATATTATTTTGAATAGTGCATCAAACGTTTTGATTTCTATGAATTTTGTATACATTTAACAATGTTTCCTTGTTTACCACGTGTTTAACCATTTTTTTTTTTTTGAACACTAGAAATCATTTCTCTTGGAAAGTAACGATTTTGCTGTTCGTTGATTGTTGTTGACCGACAGAGCGCATTGAACGATATCCGTAGACGTTATTTTTACATTACAAAAATAAATTGTAGGCAGTCTATGTGCAGTCGAACAGTCGATGTATTGGTATTGTTTGAAATATGTTATTTATACTTGTCGTAAAAATAACTGATACCTGTGTAGATTGATTTAAAAAATAGTTTTACAATATTATAGGTACCTATATAGATAAGTAGTTTTAACTATAAGCCACGAATTTCGTTTTGAATCGTAACACCTTATAGGTAATCACTATAAAGTATAAAGAACCATTATTTTCGCGGAAAAAAAAATACAATTATCTTATTATGTGTACCTCAAATAATATTTGTTAATAAAAGTGTGAAAATAAAAAAAAAACCCCGCGCTTATTGTTAAAGTTGCAATAGGTACTAATAATTTATACAGAACGGTTCAAATGAATTCAAAAAAAAAAAAAAAAAACAAATTTGGCAGCAAGCTCTATGCAGCGAGAACTTGTAAAAGGTCAATATAGTTTTTCAATTTTCTTTGCTCGATTTATTATTATTCTTTCTGGTATTACTATACGACATTCTGCCGTTGTTTTTAATTGGAAGAGTATAGTGAATATTTTCCTACCGTCGTCCGGCCGTAACATTATTGTAATGCGGTGAGCTCGTTAATTTTTGATCGCTGTACGTGTTTATGGCGGGAAAATAAAAGTTTCGCATCGATCGACGACGGCGGCATCGGTGACGGTGACTGTTACTCGTGTCCACGGTAATAACCGACAGATAGCGCCTGTTATTATAACGGGAGAGACGCTCGTAAAATATAATTTATTATTTTATTATTTCCGGGGCGTCGTGATTTCTTTTTTTTCGTATTCTCCGGTACTATTATTACCCTGTCACGCGATACGGAAAAACGAAATTTCGTACAGTATATTTTGCGAGTACTATAATATTATTACGCACACTATACCTACTTACGCGTACCTACAATTGTATTGCAAAGGTAGGTACTTTTTTACCAAAGGTAGGTTTGTAAATATAGATAAATATAGATATAGGTTTGTAGGGTTGTAAAGTTTGTAAATACTTTTTGTGCGTTCATCAGGAAGAAAACATGAAAAAAAAAAATATACCGTCCCGTGAATTTTATTTTTGATATTTACGCTTGCATTATTTTTTGACCCGCAAACACAATCATCCGCACATGCGAAAGCTCGGTTAAATTTGTTCGCCTCTTCATCCCCCCCCTCCCCGTTCTTCCGTGGCTTTTAACCCGCGCGTCCACGAGTAGACGACACCTAGCGGCCGCCGCCGCCGTCACCGCGGCGTGTACGTGTATAAAAAGGTTACTGACCTACGCAAAACGATACGTTGCCGTGACGTCATTACCGGAACTTTTGCGTCCAACGGCCGGGCTTTGCTTGGAAAAGCCGAATCAATAACGTCGCGCCACTAGTAGCTTTTGCGGGTGGTTGGGGGGGTTGGGAGGGGGAGACGCGCGCGAGGGGAGGCGTACGAGCCGGAGAGCGTTGAACCCGCCGCCGTCGCGGCCGCAGCACTCCCACGTTTCGTCTGCGCGACGAGAAATACACTGGGATTCGTGTACCGGAAGTGTTTCCGCGTTATACTGTGTATTATATTTACACGCGTGTGCGTTCGCACATCATTCATTGCCGTCGGTGTGCGAACACACAATGTACGTGCATAGGTGTATTATCTATACATACATACACATAAAAAAAAACACGTATTACCGAAAAGCGTCCATCACGGCGTGTATTAGATAATCTGTAGTTTACGTAACGTTGTCGCGCGGTAAAACCGCCGCGATGTGCACGAATCCGGACGCAAATCAAAATGCAAAAGCGTGAAAATCATACGCGCGCCTTGAGATTTTTCAAACGAGTCGTCCGTAAAATATGTCCGTATATTGTGATTATAATGTAATTTAGGGGCGGTGATCGCGGAGTGCGCGAAGGCCCGAGGGGCGACAATTTTATAACCGTGAAAACTTAGATTATAATATACTATAGTAGCCGGTGTGGGCGATTCAACGATAATTCGGTTTTAAATTCGTCAACACTAATCGATTTCTTCGTTTTGATATCACTATTGCGTTCTTAACTGTCATCGAATTCATTAACTATTATAATCGAAGAACAACGAAATGGGTGAAACGTTTTTTTGCGGTCGCGGTAAATTTGGTAACTGTTTAGAGTCAGCACATTTTTTCTATTCGCAACCCTCCCATCAATTCAAGCGCGGAATAAAACCGATAAATTGTCTAGAAATAAATCTATAAATTGTCCCGTTCATATAACCCCGTAGAAATAATAATAAAACATTGATAGTATTTATTCACTATAATATTATAGTATTATAGTGCGGACGGGAAAAATCCGAATTTTGGACTTACAAAACCTCGAGTTTCAATTTTGTTTTTAAATTTTTTTTTTACACGTGTTTACAAACAACTGTACCACAATAAATCTTGCTCTAATAAAAATTGTATGGTATCTTTCTTATTTGTTTTTTTTACATAATTGGTGTATTCAGAAGGTCTTTTTTTTGTAGTTTTCTCAATAAATGGGAAAATTAGTAATTCTTTATTGTGTCCTCAATGATTTTTGAGTTACCTTGGCAACAAAGGCGAGAATATGACCAATAATACTCTGATCAGAATCGTTTTTCGTTAGCAACAGTTTATCATTGCGTACACATACAAATTAAATTATTCTATGTGTCCCACATTTCGACTTCCTTTCTAAAACAGTGGCATCATACCCATCGGCATTCAGCAGTATCGACCTTCATTTTTTCATTGTGAATTTTAAAATTTGGATTTACATGTCCGCTTTTCGGACAAGCAGGGTTCATTATTAAATAATAGTTCAATACAATTTCGTTATTTTCAATATTATTTTTGGTTTCGATTGAAATAATAAAATATCGTCTTAGCAATTTATGTTGACAGTTTAAATCGTAATAATAATAATAATAGCGTCGGTCGTCATCGTAATATCAAACACGTTTGTTTTTTTTTTTTTTATTTTGCGTTTGGTTTTTTTTTTCTGTCGTCCGGGTATATTTAAACAAAATGCATTAAACCGTATCAGAAATTTGAACGTGTCATTGTTCGAGTAGTCGGATGAATCCGTTTGACTACATACGTATATATAATATCCATTATCATATTGTTGTAAAATATATAAATTATAGATGAAGCCGTAATTTATTTTCTCTAGATCAAAGGAAAATTATTTTCGCTATAACTATAGTGATTTATTTTCTAAGATCATAACGGTAACCTAATAAATATTAATAACAAAATACAAAATAATACATATAACCTTAACAAAAAAAGTTAATATTTATTATTTTTGTACGGCAGTATATTAAATTATATTAACTTTTTGTTGTGTATTTTATTTTTAAGTTAACGAAGAAATAACATACAAATGCGTTATAAAAAAAATACACAAATATGTGTACAGTATATTTCTAGGTTACATACTATAGCATAAAGTACGTTGTGTATTATGAAGATTTAACAAATTCTAATAGTTTTTTCCTTTACTATATTACTATATTCCCTGTAGTATACTTCTCTTACTATATTCAGTACTACAGAGTACATTTAAATATACTAAGTATACATGGACGCTGAATATTGGGTTGCTGCGATGCTCGAGCATCCCATGAAATAAATAAAACATATTAATATTATACATGTAGAAATAGCCATTTTTAATTAATGTATGTTTTGGTTTTTTTTTTTTTTATTATTTTGGTTATTTTAAATTCGAAACTGCAAAAAAAGCTTTGCATTTTCAAGATGCAAGATTAAAAATTCAAACTATCATAATTACTATAGAAGAAAATCAAAAATCCGGTTTTAACCAATTATAGGAAGATATAATTAATAAATCTGAAGAACTAGGTTTAGGTGAATTTAAGCTATCTAAATAAAGAAAAACTCCAAAACGTTTGATCGAAGGGAACAAGAACATTACTTTATGTCACCTAAAGAGCAATGTAAAGCACTATTTTTTTAATGAGTTGATATCACGTTATCTGTTCTGCAAAACAGGTTTCAAAGTAACGTAATTGAACATCTTGCAAAAATAGAAAACTTTATAGTAGATCCTAAAAAATTAATATATATATTATAATTGAATACTATAGCTTTGGCAATATTATGTTAGATATCACTAAAACAAAATAGTTTAATTTATCATCAGTGTCAGACGCAATTGATTTTTCGAAACAAGAGTTGTACTTATTAGATATGGTAGCAGAAGTGATTAAATTAATTAAAATTATGTTAAATCTATCAGTTTCATCCTTGTACAGCTGAGCGTTCTTTTTCTGTTCTTCGGCATTTAAAAAAATTCTTAAGATCAACAATGACACAAACACGATTTAACGATATAGCGATATTACATGTACCTACATAAAGAATAAAAATAAACATTGACGAGATTGCTAATAAATTTATTAATACGACTAAAGTGAGAAAAAATACGTTTGACATTTGTAAAAAAATTAAGAAATATTAATATACCTTATTGTACAATTTTTCATTTTAAGCAAACGAAAATATTTAAAAATATAATTTGTTATAAGTACCTATAGTTAAAAATAAAAAACATTTTGATTTTATTTTGCTTGTGAGTCTTTATTTTTTTTAAGATTTTGGCAGAGACGTATTTATAGTTTTGCCACCTTTAGGCATAATTAAGAAAACTTACACTTTCGGGCATATATTTTGGTGGCGGGTAAAAAAAAAATCATGGCCTATTGATGCCCATCAATGGGCACTCGAAAAACAAAAGTTTACTGCCTTGAGACGATGGCACCTTATCGCCCACACCTTCTAAATACAAAAATTAAGTCGATAAACGAGTAATGCTTTGTTGAATTTTTCTTTTTTATTTCGACTACAAGTTAAATTATTTCAGGATTTTGGGCACCCCATGAAAATTGGAAGGCCTGGCTTCTATGTAAATATATATTAGAATGAAAATAGAATTGTTTTAAAAAGTAACTTTATATAATCGTTATTTATAATTTGTTGTAAGAAAATTGAAAAAAAACTTTTTTCACATACACTATCACTATCACGATTGC